AATCGAGTGCCCTGCCCCTGGTCACAGCTGGGGCTCGCACCGAGGTCTCTGCTCCGTGTCCGGTGTTCTGCACACCTTCCTACCTCTCCCCCCGGTGCCACTTGGACCTCAGCTTGGAGAGCCCGTCCTGGCCCCAGGCTGCCAGTTAGTTGTGCTTCTCCTAGGAGTCCACCCTTGTGCTAACCCACCCCCCTCAGCATGCTGCAAGGCTGGCCGGAGTTCTGGAAGGCTCTCAGAGAGACCCCGCTTGAACGGCCAGCCCCGTCTGTAAATCCTCCCTGGCCCTTCTCCAGGTCTTGCAGAGTCCAGCCTCCTGTTGGCTACAGAATGATTTCTCCCCCCTCTGGCGTGAAAGTATTTCTGTGCCGAAGGCATCCTTCCTGAAAAATGTGACTTTCCTGGGCCTCCCCAGCTTTACTGGCATAAATACAGCTCCGGGAGCCCGCTCTCGAAAGGAGAATGTGATGGATTGAATTGTATTTTGTGAAATAATAGAAAATGTATATTTCACCTGTGCCCTCAGTTTCCGGCACAAAGCTCCTAGAACCCTTGTCATTTCCTAAGGGATAAGAATACCACCAGCACCTTTTGCTCAAATATTTGGTCTTTGACCCCGGTTCCTGACACAGAGCTTCTGAATCCCTTGGAATATCCTGGGTGATAGGAACATGTTTTGTTCTAATGAGGCAATGCCTGGTGGGATCCTGGGTGGGGGTGGGTCGTCAGAAAGATGAAGCCATCATTAGAAGCTTGGAACTTTGAGCCCCAACCCCCTTCTTCCTGGAAGGGGAGAGGGACTGGAGGTTGTGTTAATGAACGATCACGTCTACCTACAAGGTGAAGCCAGCAATAAAAATCCCAAACGTAGGGGCTTCGGAGAGCCTCTAGGTTGGTGAACACATCCGTGTGTTTGGAAAATGGTGCATCCATGATGCACCCAACTCCACGAAGACAGAAACTCTTGCTCCCTGGGCCCTTCCTGACCTCATCCTATATACATACCTCTTCATTTCACTGTTCATCTTTATCCTTTAGTATACAATAAACCAGGAACCACCATCCCCCCCCCCCCAAAAAAAAAGACAAAGTATCTCTATGCCTGCAAAAAGGCACAGGCTGGCTTGGTTTATGAAATAAACAAAGCTTTGTCAGTAACTTGGGGGCCATCTCTTTGCTAGGAGGCCTCAGCAGTGGTCACTCAGGCTGCTCTCAGGGCCCTAGACACATGGGATCGGGTAGGGATATAAACTAGTTCTTTTTTTTTTTTTTTTTTAATTTTTTAAAAAATCTTTTTAATGTTTGTTTATTTTTGAGACAGACAGAGCATGAGCGGGGGTGGGGCAGAGAGAGAGGGAGAGAGAACCCCAAGCAGGCCCTGTACTGTCAGCGCAGGAGCCCGACGTGGGGCTCAAACTTACGAACCGTGAGATCATGACCTGAGCCGAAACCAAGAGTTGGACACTTAACCGACTGAACCACCCAGGCGCCCCCCAAAAAACCTGTATCTTAACAGATTCTTAAGATGACTTACATGTTCATTGTAGAAAACTTTAAAGTATTTTCAAGAGATTCAAAAAAAATAGTACATCCAGGAGGAATCAATATATTATTTCCATTTTTAAAATAGTTCCGGTCATCCTATTTAAACAATTTCTAGCCTGCTTTTTTTCTCCTAAGTTTCAAACATCACCCCAAATTACTTGGGCCTTTGTAAACATTCAAATGGCTACTTCATACCCTGTCCGAAATTGTGAACCCTGGATTTCCTAAATAGTTTTGTTGAACACAGGGTGTTATCAGTATTTCACTGCCATAAATGATCTGTGATGAGTAGTTCTGCTTTTCAGTTGCTTTGTAAGTAGCACAGCAGCCTGGATTGTTTGGAGGGACAATGCCTGTTTAATTCGGAGTCTGTGACAGAGGCAGGACAGAAAAGCCTCGTACTTCATGCAGCAAAGAGGCATCAGGGACACCATTTAGAACACGTGACTCACAGGAAAAGTCCCGGAAGGCCTGGGAATGTGGATTTAAAACCAACCCATATATATGCACATACACACATATATGTAAGTCAATGCCAAAAAAAAAATCTAGCGGGATAAACACCAAGCGTTAAATAGTGGTAACTTCAGGATAGAAAACGGGATGAGAAGGAGGGCAGGCAAAGACGCACTTGAGGTTGTTTTGCGTTTTTATTTCCTATTTCCCTATATCCTTTGAACCTTTAATGAGAATATATTTATGTGTAACTCGTGTAATATTTAAACAAAGTGTATTTTACACTTGATCTTAGGCAAAAGGCCGAGAAGCGATTAAACAAAGTGTATTTTATTTTATTTATTTTTTATTTTTTTTAATTTTTTTTTCAACATTTAT